AACGTAAGCCTAAGTAGACTTGCTTCCTCCTTTTACGGAACAAGTATTATTCAATTGCAATAAAATAATGAAAATCTTCTGATTTTGATTCATGATTCTGCATTTTTCAGTGTTAAGATGAAATTAAGGAATATCCATTTTTCACTTACTGCTTCCACTTCTGCTGGGTCATACCAGACATTAATGTATGGATGCTGTAAGGCTTCATCCACTGATATCCGCTTGGCTGGGTCAATCACTAGCATCTTTGACAAAAGGTCCCTGGCTTGGCTGGCTAGAGCAATGAAACCAGAAGAATACAATGTCAGTACAAGAATTGGTCCATGCAGGGAAAAGCGTTTTTTTTTTTTTTTTTTTTTTTAATGAAAAAGGATCAACCAACCCCTTCAAACGTCTTGAAAATGGCCAATATTTTATTCCTTACCATTAGTCTTTATTTGTGTATACATTCACTATACCTCAATACAACAGAAATCCCAAAATATTCACACAGGATTGAATTTATCTGTACAGAGAGCCAGCACAAGGTGATTTGGAGATATTTCTAGCACCCCAAGACTGGGGCGGGGGGAGGGGGGACAGGGAGTAGTCCAAAAGCCTAGTCTCGTGAGATTTCCAGCTTTGTTGCATAAAAGTGAAAATTTAAAATAGTTTGGATAAAGATCCAAAAACATCCATATTTTCTACATACTGCATCTATACAGTATCCATATGATATCTATACAGAACTTCTGGAAGTTTGACCAGCAAGGTACTTCTGGAGATTTGACTAGCAAGGTACTTCCAACTGAAATACAAAATATAATAAAGGATTTTGTCATATGCAATATTTTTGCTGGGTTGTATCTAGTCACAGAACACTTTATGGTGCATTTAACTGCTTTTGGTCAGGGTAGGTCCAAGAGCAGGTCATATGGTCTGGGTAAAACTGGTAGAGAAAGGCAAAAAAAATCTCTAGGTCAGTCCCTCAAGCTGATAAATGGACAAAGGACCACCACTGCTGCCAGGAATCAGAATAACGTACAGGTATGCCAGCCACATCTCATTTTGTCCTACTATAATCACTGTGCTAATGAGAGCAAACTCCCATACCAGGTATGAGCTACTAGAGATCTAATTTGCACTGTTGTAATCCTACTGGAAGCAGACCCGCCAAATTTAAGGCCATTTCACAAGTTATACTTAGGGAAACTTAACTGCACTTAAAATGCAAATTTCTATATTCAAGCAGTAAAACATGTGCAAAGTGTTCTCATGTCATAGAAAAGTTATGACTTTTCATGGGACAAGCATCTTCAGATCATATTAAGTAGCACATATTCAGCTATTGTTGGACTACTCCATTGAGATAATATAGCATTTGCAGTCCTCCTGGCACCAGCAGGATCCAGTGGCAGGACAGGCACCCTCTCCCATGTGCCTCCCTCACCCACCCCAGCAGCAGAGACCCTGCATGACAGGGGCAGGAACTCCCAGGCTTGTTAATGCTGGTCATATAATGGAGAGGTTGTAGGCTGCAGGAATGGAGGGCTGCATCTCCCCACAGGTGAGAGCACGGATGTGAGAGCATGGCAATGCTTACTATGATCTCAGAAAAAACACCTGCTAAGTGTCGTATGAGATAGGACCTTTAAAGTGAGAAGCTGCAAGTTGTACACAGCACACCAGCCATTCCAAAAACCAAAGTTCCAGTCTGTGGGCCACGGTTTGAGTTTTGCAAGATCTCTCCCACCAGGTTTCTGATTTTAGAAAACCAACATAACAGGGGTGTATTCGAGTTTTGCTTACCCAAATAATTAAGGTTCTCAGGCTTATGATACCATATATTCTCTTTGCAGGGTAATGCTTAATACTAAAAATACCCCCAAGTATATCAAATGAAGAAACATTTTAGCTTCAAAGGAAATGGATTCTTCCTGTGAAACGATACAATGGCATTTTTATTGCTATGCCTTATATCACCACAGTATCTACTAGATGCTGGATTACAGTAGACTAAAGGAACATATGCAGCACAGTGAAAAGATGCTTCAGCAAGCCTTAAATTGGCTGGTTCAGATACCTAAATCATCCTAACCACTGTAGTAGCATGGAGCTTTACATAGGCTAATTTACTTGAGAGACAGAGTTATGTGAGTTCTGTGCTGCTGTAGCTAGACAGTTCCTCACATCCAAACTAGTTCAAATATTTCTACATTTCAGTGTGTCCTACAGTGTAGATATACCCTAAGCTTCTGTCCTGTGCGTCTTATTCCTACACACAGGGCATGTTTACATGTGCAATTTGAGCCAGAGTAACTAATTGAGCACAGTAATTTACACTGACAACAGACAGTACCAATGTCTAATGGGACTATCTGACAGCACTGTAAATTAGTGTGCACTGGTCCAATTGCCATGCACATGTAGATAGTGATGCTTTACTGTGCAGTAAATTAGTCTACTGTGCAGTAAAGCACACATGTCAACCTACCCACAGTGTTGAAAACAATGGGCCATATCCTCATATGGTGTTAACATGAACATAGATTATCCATATTACTATGCTTAATTTCTGTGGAGCTATACTAATTTACAGATAGCCCACTAAGCTCCTTGAGATGGCTCACTAGACTTACTCTTATTTGTAAAGTCCATAAGGCTTAAGCCACCAGAATGCTTGTAGGAGAATTTAACTAAATGTGATTATTTTTTTAAAAAGCTACCAAACTGCCTAATTCCCCTCTAATTCCCTCCCCCACTCCACACACTGATTTGATATTTATAGTGTAGCATCTAAAGGACAGAGGTGTAGCAATTGTTAAATGATTTACTACTCCAAATACATGGCCAGTGCCAGTAACAATGAAATACAGAGATTTAGCCAAGAAAGCAAACTAACTTTCTATTTATTCTGACAGAGGGTTGAATAATCACCAGATGGAAGTTTATGTTGATGCCCGATTGGGCAAACATCCATCATGGTAAATTTCAGGTACAAGCCAAAACCTCTAATCTGGGACCACAGCACACAGCCATCTGGTTTTCCAAGCTAATCTGTTGTCAATCAAACCACACAATTATCTTTTTGTTATTCAAACTCTTTTTTCTCTGTCAAATTCATTGGTATCTTTTAAAAAAGAAAGTTAACCTCATCAGTTGCTAGCAATATTACTATTCTTGTACTATAACAAAAGGTTCAGAAGCACCTTAACTAAGCACCTTAACTCTTCTACCATTCACAGTAGATCTGTGACAGAGAATAAAAATGAAAAGAAATAAAATAGTAACTATAAAATCAGGATCCTCTCACTAAGCATCCAATACGTGTCACATCACACAGAGATGACTAAAAACAGAGCTTTTTAAAAAGAGAGGAACAAAACAAGAAATGGTAGATTTTGATCTTAAAAACTGATGTTCACTATTTTTAAATGTGTCTGTTTCCTTTATTCAGAAGATAATGAGTTAATACACAGTTAGACTATCATTTCCTATGCTACAGTCCCAAATCCCGTTAAAGGCCATTATTCAATTTCATTGTCAGAGAAAAAAAACAACTCAGTGCATCCAAAAGCATTTGTACAGACCTTTCACTTTACTCCCTAAAAGCTGAGACAACAGTCTTGCTTTTGAAACAGTTGTTAACTGGAAGAGCATTGTAGGTAATGTAATGACATGCAAATTTCAGGCAATTGAAAAACACTGCGTATCACTGCAGCAAGCAATCTGAGGAGCCCATGCAGATAAAACTGATACATGCTGAATGTTTGTAAACAGTCCAAAGCTGTAATTGGAAATCTTGTTTATATTAAAACATACATTAATCATTGTTTTTTATTGAAGGTCAACATCCTGATCAAATTAATCATGGCTTTGATGTATGACTAAAGTCATATAAGCACATGCCACTATATATATTGTAAAATTAAAATACCTACTCTTACTGCAATTAAGATAGCCTTCTGTTTCACATATGAAAACCCAGCTGCTACATTTTTCATTGTAATAAGACCACTTATGAGAGCTATTAAACTGCAGCTACATCAAGAACAATTTTGCCTGATACCTGAAAAATATATAGTATTTTTTGTGGTCAGGTATTTGGATGCACTGATATTTACTTTATTTAAAACAAAAAAACAGAACACAATTAATAGGGTTCTGAGATCTTCAAAGGAAACTCCTTGGGCTCCCTTATATCAGAAAAATAATAATAAGGATCTAGAACCTCCCAAAATCCCTTATAATGGTAGCCAAGGATCCACTGTACAATACGAGTGGACATGAATCTGACATACTTGACATATTAATCAGTGACAAAATATGCTCCCTAGAGCCCCTAATACCCCAGCACCATGTTCACCATCACACCTAGAAATGACCTCTTGCTATATAAAACCCACACAAGTGTCTAGCTCATCCTAGACCCTGAATCTGATTGGCTAACTCATCCCCCAAAGGTAATTTTCATGTAGATATTAATTGCTAACATTTTGCCCTATTTTTTTCTTTTGTTCAAACTTTTTTTTAACTTGCCTCCTATGAAAGAGAGCAGTTGTCAGTAAATCATGAGGAGAGGCTAACTTTGTACATCCAAAGGGCATATTTGTTTTCCTTTTGCTATCACTTTTCCTCAAATCAATGGCATTTCCTCTATAATGGAACACTTTTTACTCTCAGTAGCTAAGCACCAACCAAAAGTTATTATAAAATATAGAAAACAAATGTTTTAAAAGGTATTAAAAACTGATTCAGCTCAATTAGAAAAAAAAGGGTTCTTCCCTATACTCCATGCTCCCTCCTTGAACATACCTTTAAGTTTGTTGTGTTCCGAGTCCGCTGGGAACAGAGAATCTGGGAAAAGTTTGGGGAAAGTAAGACCAGCATACTTAGGTCGATTCTCAACATAGTTCCGTACTGTGGGCTGTAGCTTCTTCATGAATTCCGGACACGGTGTTCCCAGCTGTTCAATTACCTTATTCCACTGGTCAATATCTGAGTAGAGGTAGTTAAGGAAACAAGAATCCACAGTCTACTAACTTACTTGTTTGGTTGGTTTCTGGGAACTCCTAAGGTACTTAATTCCCTCAGTGCCTTGGTTCAGCATTATGCCTTGAAATTTAGTAAGACCTTTATAGCATCAACTTTGCTTATGTACAAAAACATTGTACGTAGCTGACATCTGCAGATATAGAATCCATGGTGGTTATTGATGATAATTCCCTTTTGTTTTTAAATCTCAGCTCAGTGGCTAATACTGCCCCAGTTCACATCCATGAAATCAATAGAACTAAATGGACCAAACAAAGAAGAATATATTTGTTCAGTTACTTACTTTATTCAAACTGGACATAACCATCAAAACATCACCATACAAATGGAAGCTTAGTGGACCACAATGGTAGGAAAAGAGTTCTGCGTGGGACAGGCAATACCCTAAGCTTTTCTTTTCCTTATGAGAGATCTAATATTTTTAAGGTCAGTCTGAGGGAGAAAAAACATTATTTGAAGGAGTGGACATATTTGCAAGAAGTTCTAAGAAGTGAATCATTAACTAAACTATTGCATATTTGTATCTTTACTCTCCCTAGTAATGTATCAATGTCTCCTTTTACTGAAGCTTCCATCATACCTATTTAGCAAAAGATTGTTCAGCATTTGGCCTAACAGCATTTGGCCTTCCCTTCTTAAGGGAAAAGATGTGCCAAACAGACACAGATGTTTCTCTTTCATTTTTTAATGTCATACATAATGAAGTTAAGCTTAAACAGTACTTTGCTACAATGTGTAAGTAACAAGAAACAATTGAGGATAAAAGCCAGTTTCTACATGCTTTCATTCTCAACCAAGAAACACTTTACCATTAGGGATTTCATTGGGCTACTCTTAGTTTTCTTGGAACAATGTCATAGATGCTGGATGATTTGTGGCCCTTCCAGTCATGTTCAGAACATGTCTTACTGTGTCAGGGGGGAAAAAAAAGAAAAAAATGTTAATTCAAGAAGATGGTTAGAAACTAGCAAGCATCTCTGTTACTGCATTCATCACATTAATAATTCAAAAAAATGAAACAATATATGAACACACACAGTGATGGACACATTGCTAAGAGACAGTCACATGCTTGTAGGTAAGGGTGCTTCATGACAATATATTAGAAAAAAAATAGTTTAATATGTCACTTGTTAAGAGGTGCAATATGAAGTTAACCTCATTTTCGCTGTTGTGAATTATTCATTGACATCAATTCCCAATCTGTGTAAGTGCTTTCCAAGCATTCAGGGCACTGACAGAAGTGATATTTGTTGTGCAACTGGCCCCCTGAAAGTGCTCTACAGCTGTATCCTGACAGAAAAGCACAGCTACAGAGCATTTAAAAAGTGCCTGATTATGTAACATGTTAACCCCTATCTAATGAGGGTTCAGATGAAGGTGCTCCAAAACGGAGCACCTTCATTATTTTCTGTTAGTTCCTGTGGCAATCAGGGCTGAGCTGATGCAGCCCAGCCCCACTGTCAGTGCTGTCTGCAGGATGGGAGGGGGAAAAAGGGAGGGGAGTGAGTTCAGGGCTGGGGTTTGCCAGCCAGAGCTGGAAGGGTGGGGGACACGA